TCATTTGAACAAGAAGCGGATGAGAGTCTTAATTAGTGAAGCTTGGGAAAGATTCAAAGAGTTGGTACAAGCATGTCCTCATCACGAATACAATCAAAGCTTGCTCATGAGATTCTTCTATGATGGGTTGGAACCTATGTCTAGAGCTAACTTGGATGCGGGGGCGGGTGGCCAATTGATTAAGGTCCCCCAAAATCAAGTCGAAGCAAAAATTGAAGAGGTAGTGAAGAACTACTCTTGGGGTAGTAGAAGGAGGAATGCACCAAAGAAGGGTGGAAAGTATGAATTGGAGAAGGTTGATCAATTGCAACATCAAATTGAGCTTTTGACAAAAGGGCTTGGAAAGTTGAATACGAGTGTCAATAGTGGGATAAGCTCCTCACAAGTTAATTCTTTCTCTTGTCAAAATTGTGGTGGAACGAACCACGATACATCTTATTGTGGAGGTTTGAGCCTCGAGCATATGGCGCCATACAATATAAGGCAAGATGGATATAGGGGAAGTGGCGGCGGAGTAGCTTGGAGGCAATCGCCACCCGGATTTGCTCACCAACCCCAACAATGGAATCAACAAGCTCAACAATCATACAACTCCAACCCCCAATACCAAAACCCACCTCCATTCCAAACCCAAAACCCTAGAGGAAACTACCCAAGAAACAACCAACACAATAATCAAAACCAATACCACAATCAAAATCAAGCGGCTCAAAGGAGTCAAGAGCAAGCATCTCAACCCGATTCTACTCAAACCCAAATTCTTCAACAACTTCAAGCCACGAATCAATAAATGCAAAAGGTCAAGGCTCATAACAAGATGGTTGATTCACAACTAGCTTAATTGGCCGAGAGAGTCCCTTTCAACTCACCTTTTACTCTACCCGCACAATCACAAACTAACCCTTCCAACATTGTGAAACCCGACTCTTGCAAGGCAATCACATTGAGATCGGGTACATCCTATGAGGGTCCTAAAGAGGGGGATAGTGAGGAAAAGAAGGAAGGAGAAGAGAGTGTGGGTGAAGATAAGGAAGTTGAAGAAGAGAAGGTTGTTGAGAAAGAGAGAACACTACTACATTTTTGATCTATTGCAACCCTCAAATTCGTTGCATTAGACGTCATAATCCGTGGCATTAGGCCTAATGCAACGACCATGTACCGTGGCATCTGATGGTGTTGCAGTAGGTCTAATGCAACGACATATGACACCTAATGCCACGACATCAATGATCCATTGCATTAGATCAACACCTGATGCAACGACAACATTATTGCCGTGACATTAGCTATAATACCTAATGCCACGGTTTCCTATACCTAATTCCACGGTTCCCTATACCCTAATGCCAATAATAATAATAATAATAATAATAATAATAATAATAATAATAATAATAAACAATACAATTATAATCAATTTTTTTTTAAAATATCAGAAATTATTAATATAAATTAAAAGTTTGTACATTGTTATCTATAAGAAAAATTACTAAATTAGATTATCACTAGTTAAACTAAGAAAAAAAAATTTTAAATATTAAAACTTGGTTATCTGTGTTGCTGTCCTGTTCCTGGTCAAGTTCCAGCAGGAGCTGTCCTGGTCTTGTGCTGGTGGCTGCTCTGTTGGCTGCTATGTTGTGTGTTTAGGCTGACAGGCTGCTCTGATGTTTCTGTTCCGCTTCGCTGCTGTGCCTCTGTCCTAGTCAGGCTGGCAATTTCCGAGGGATTTTCCGTCGGAACTAACAATATCCGGCGGAATTTTCCGACAGATCCAATTTCCGTCGGAACGATTCCGTCGGAATCCGACCTATTTCTAGTAGTGTATTCTGCTTCTGTGGCTGTGTTTCTGCTCTGTTCAGGCTGGCTGGGTGATTGGTTTTGCTTCTATTCAGGCTGTCTTGTGCCGGTGGCTGCTGTGTTGTTGTGTGTTCTGGCTGATCTGTTGTTTGTTGTGCTGCTATTTTTGTTCAGCTGTGCTGCTGTGCCTCCCTCCTGTTCAGGCTGGTTGGGCATCTGTTTGCTTCTATGGTTGTGTCTCTGTTATGTTCAGGCTGGCTGGGTGACTGGTTTGAGTTCTTGAGCTGTTGTGTTTCAGTTATGCTCTGGTTAGGCTGTGCTTTTCAACCTTTTTCTTTTTAGGATTTCTTTGGCAAATGTGTTCAACTGAGTAAACCAATGATTGGTTCCCAAAATACAACAGTGCATTCGACCCAATTAAATCCTAACCCAATACACAACAACAATAGATAAACAACAACAACAACAACTAACCACACGTATCAACAACCACAACATGCTGGATCAACAACAATAACTACTAACCACACTATAGCCTAAACAACATAACACAAATGTTGTTTCAACAACAACAACCATGATTAATTCTAAATAATAAATACCAACTCTGGCTTATTACTAATAGCCATATCATAATACAACAGCAACAACAATAACACATGAACAACAACAACAAATTAGAGAAATCCTCCAATAGGAATTTCTCATAAAAGATGGTTGCGTCATAAAAGATTTAATTTGTGTAAACAAAAAATTTTAAACTGTCAAGAGTGGAAGGTACATACCAAACCACCTTTGTTAGAGAAAGCACAATAACTTCCCACAAGAATGTTTCAAGCAATTGTTTTCCTGAAAACCTCGACACCAAGAACATCCCTGCGTAGGTACAATGCACTAAATCCTTCTTTGTTCAATATCTGGGTGAAGATGTGTCCCTGCGTAGGTTGAAAATGGCTCTGTAAGCATTAGTTGGACAGACAACAGACACGTATTTTACATTGCAAGATAGTTACATTTTATTGGAATCAACTATATGAAACATATTCACTTATATTCCTTTTAGCAATCCAAAGTTTCGTATGTATATTGGAGGCACAAAGGGCTGGGAAAGGTCTTGTGGAACTCAGCATCATTATATTGGTTTGATGTAGTGTTTAAATGAAAAAGACAGTTTACCAAGATTATATTTACAATCAAACTAAACAACTTTTATGCGTTGAACAACTAATTAGAAGGATATGTGGGAAGTATAAAAATACTATAAACTTGCTGCAAAAATTAAATCGTCTTCATATGAGCAAAAATTCAAGTTTTAAATATAAAATAAAAAACCAAACTAATGATATTGCAGATTCTTAAGCTATATTTAACACGAATCTACCTGAATTGGCTTCGTAACACTAGCAAGCTTCTCCTTGACTTCCACCACAGGCACCTCTACATTCGTTTGAGTTTCTTTTTCCATTAATAATCACAATATTTGACCTCAAACCTAGGTAAACAAATGTACAAGCTTAAAACCACAAATCGACTACTTCTACCTTATTGCATACAGGTCAACCCAAACACTTGCACTGTTGCACTTGCACTGCATGTAAAGAAAGGCTACAAAGATTCAACAAAAAAAAACAAAAAAAAAAGATAAAATTGTTGTAAATTGTATTTTTCCACCTTTTGGACATCAAGAAAGTAGCTTTCATGAGGTACTTTTTTTTATCATGATACTAAAATATGCATAAAGACAGGTTGGTTAAACAGAGCCCTTGGGCAACAGATCTAAGGCTACATGCTCTAATAATTTAAATACCATATATCCAACTAGATTTCACAGTGCACTCAGTTTTATACTAGGAAAAAAATCACATCTAATTTGCTCATATGAAGACAATTTAATTTTGCAGCAAGTTTATAGTATTGTTATACTTCCCACATATCCTCCTAATTAGTACAGGTTTTGGTCAATAATACAAGCACTTCCAAAAAAATTGGAAGGGAGTTTCGATCTATAATGGGGTGAATTTAACCTGGTATACACTAGGTGATACTGATCAAAGACAAGCTCAAAAGAAAAAAAAAACTGCTTCTTCAACCATCAACCTTAAACCTCATAAAGAAACCTTCCCCCCCCCCCACAATTTTTCTCTTATCTCTTATTTTACAATTCTCTCCTACTGCTACAAGTTACTTCCAACAAGATTGGGACTAAATGGCACAACAGAACCTTAAAAACTCATCAAACCTCACAGTATTAAATAACAGCCAGGCTTATTATTGCTACATATATGTACATTAGTAATCGACACAAGCACAAAAACATAGAAAAGATATTAATAAGAAAGTAATCACAATTCAAGAAATTAAAAAATGAAAGCTTCCTATTATCACAAATCAAGATAATCAGCACTCGAATTCAACATTGCAACTAATTTCAATCTATAAACCATCACTTACAACAAAATCAACCCAAAATCTACCATTAATGTCGCATAAAAACATAATAAACCCTAAAAACACAACAAAATGGAGCAAAAAAGTAGCAATTTGAGCAAATTTTTCACAAAATCTCGTCAATTAAATTAAACATAGTAGTTGTATGAATTCACAAACAATGAAGAAAATTAAGGATCTAGGGTTTGAATTGGAGAGGAAATAAACCTTAAGCTGAGAAAGGAGACGAGGGGAGGTGTCGAATTCGTCAATGGAGGTGGTTTTGGAGTGGTTCCGTGGTGGAACCCTAACCCTAACACCACCGTGCTTGGTGTTTCACCCTAAAAAACAAAGCCCTCAGATTTTTTTGAGTAATTTTCCTCTTAGAATTTGGAATTAATTATGGAGAATTGGGGAAAATATGAGAAAGTGAGAAAATGAATATTTGGGAAAAATGGAGAAAATGAGAAGTACAGAGTGAAAATTGGGGAATATGTTGTTCAAAAATTTTCGGCAAAAAAAAAGAGGGAAGTACTTCGCGCGTTTTGAAATTTTTCATCATACAATACACTACCGTAGCAATAGCTCCCTTTTTTTTTGTTAAAATAGCTAGGCTAATGCAACGGTTCTTTAGAGCCGTGGCAATAGCTCTACCTCTAAGAACATTAGTGTTAAATCTGTGGCAATAGCCTACTCTGTTGCAATGACAATTAAAATACCGTTGCATTAACCTTTATTAAGCCATTGCATTTGGTCAAAAATGTAGTACTGGAAGTATGGAGAAGAAGAAGCTTAAACATGAGAATACAACTTTGACTCCTAGTGAAGCTAGGAATCTTGATGGGCCGGTTCCATTTCCCGGTCGACTTGCGGAGAGGAAGTTGAATGACAAGTTTGCAAAATTCCTTAGTGTGATGAAGAATTTGCACATCAACCTACCTTTCATCGAAGTTGTCACACAAATGCCTTCATACTCCAAGTTCCTCAAGGATATTCTCACCAACAAGAGGAAGCTCAATGATGAGCTCATCACTCTTCCCCATCAAGTGAGTGCACTTGTTCAACATAAGATGCCCAAGAAGCAAAAGGATCTGAGAAGTTTCACTTTGCCGGTAAAGATTGGGAACATGGAAGCTAGGGATGCCTTAGCCGATCTTGGAGCAAGTGTTAGTTTGATCCCTCTATCCATTGTTCAACAGCTTAATATTGAAATGATCCCCACAAGAAAAACTATCCAATTGGCCGGCTATTCGGTGAAGTTGCCTTGTGGTGAAATTGAAGATGTTCCTATTCAAGTTGGGCATATTTATGTGCCTTGTGACTTTGTAGTGATGGATATGGAAGAAGATGTTGATACTCCTTTGATTTTGGGTCGTGAAGCTCTTAAGAATTTGGGGGCGGTGATCAATTGCAAGAACAACACCATTACATGTGAGGTAGCCGATGAAAAGATTGTTTTTGAGTTCTCTAAGCTACTCAAGACCCCCATGGTTGAGAAGTGCTATAGGTTTGATGTTGTGAATGCAGAGTTAGATCGCTTGGGAAGGGTTATGATGAATCCTCAAGATCCAATGGTTGAAGCTCTTACATGCAAGGAAGAGTACCACTCTCAAGAAGCAAAAGAGTTTGTCATGGCCATTGAAGAAGCCAAAATGGAGGAAGAGGATGATCCTAGGGATGATGAGCTTGAACTAGCGGAGGAGAATTTGGAGGAGAGTTCCAAGCCTCCTGCCAAGGTAGAACTTAAACTCCTTCCCCCCTCTTTGAAATATGCTTATCTTAGAAATGAAGGGGAATACCCTATTATTGTCAATGCTACCCTTGATGGTCTTGATTTGGAAAAATTGCTTGTTGTGTTGAGAAAATATAGAGATGTGATATGGTATAGCATTGGTGATATCAAGGGTATTACCCCTTCTTTGTGCATGCCGTATTCACCTTGAGGATGATCATTCCACCTCAATTGAACCTCAAAGGAGGTTGAACCCCAACCTCCAAGAGGTTGCATTGTCAAGAAGGAAATCTTGAAATTACGTGAAGCGGGCATAATTTATGCTATCTCCAGTAGCAAGTGGGTTAGCCCGGTTCACGTAGTTCCAAAGAAAGGTGGAATGACCATCGTTAAGGGAGAAGGAGGAGAGGAAATCTCCACCCGGACGGTGACCGGGTGGAGAATGTGCATTGATTATAGGAGGTTAAACAAAAATACAAAGAAAGACCATTTATCTCTCCCCTTCATGGACCAAATGTTGGAGAGACTCTAACCATGCTTTCTTTTGTTTCTTGGATGGATATTCCAGATTTTTCCAAATCCCTATCCATCCAAATGATCAAGAGAAAACTACTTTCACATGTCCATATGGAACATTCGCATACTGAAGAATGTCATTCGGGTTATGCAATGCTCCTTCAACTTTCCAACAATGCATGACTTCCATTTTTTCCGAGATGCTTGAAAATAAGATTGAGGTTTTTATGGACGATTTCAGTGTTGGTGGCTTGTCTTTTGACACATGTCTGTATAATCTTCAAAAAGTTTTGAAAAGGTGTCAAGAGACGAGTTTGGTTTTAAACTGGGATAAATGCCATTTTATGGTCGAGGAGGGTATTGTCCTACGCCATAAAGTGTCAAAGAAGGGCATTGAGGTTGATTCGGCCAAGGTTTCGGTGATTGCAAAGTTGCCCCCCTACTTTTGTTACGGGAGTGAGAGCTTTTCTAGGGCATGCCGGTTTTTACCAGAGGTTTATCAAAAAAATTTCATCAATCGCCAAACCTTTGACCGACTTACTCAAGAAAGATTTTGTGTTTAGCTTTGATGAGGCTTGTCTTGAGGTATTTCAAAAACTCAAGGAAGGTTTCATTTCCTCTCCGGTTGTGCAAGCTCCGGATTGGAGCTTGCCTTTTGAGCTAATGTGCGATGCGAGTGATTTTGCAGTAGGTGCGATGCTTGGGCAAAAGAAAGAAGGAAAATCTCACGTCATCTACTATGAAAGTAGGACTCTTGATGAAGCTCAAAAGAACTATATAACTACGGAGAAAGAAATGCTTACGGTTGTGTTTGCCATGGACAAGTTTAGGTCCTATCTTATATGCTCCAAAGTGATTGTGTACACGGATCATATAGCGGTTTGCTAGTTTATGACTAAGAAGGAAGCAAAGCCTCGCCTCATCCGTTGGGTTCTTTCACTTCAAGATTTCGACATGGAAATGAGGGATAAAAAAGGAGCGGAGAACTTTATGGCGGATCATTTGTCTAGGCTTCCTTTTGAGATTAAGGAAGATGTGCCAATCAATGAAGAAGTGGGATTTGAAACTCTCATGGCTATAGCTTCAATATCTAGCCCATGGTATGTGGATATAGCCAATTATCTTGCTTGCGGAGTCATTCCCCCAGAGTTTTCTTCTCAACAAAAGAAGAGGTTTTTCAAGGAAGTGAGGAGATACTTTTGGAATGAACCCTACTTGTTTAAACAGTGTGGAAATGGCCTCTTCCAGAAATGTGTTCCGGACCATGAGATCGAAGGAGTTCTTGAGCATTGCCACTCATTACCGTGTGGAGGACATGGAGGAGTTTATAAGACGATGGCAAAGATTTCTCAATCTATCCTATGGTGGCCAACGATGCATAAGGATGCCCGTAAGTTCGTTTCAAGATGCGACAAGTGCCAAAGAAGTGGTGGCATAACCAAAAGGGATGAGATGCCTCAACAAAACATTTTGAAAGTTGAGCCATTTGATGTTTGGGGTGTCAACTTTATGGGGCCTTTTATCTCTTCATGTGGGAATTTGTATATCTTAGTAGTGGTGGATTATGTTACTAAGTTGGTTGAAGCTATACCCTCCCTTACCAATGATCATAAAGTTGTGCTCAAACTTCTCAAGAAAATCATATTTTTGCAGTTTAGGGTTCTTAGGGTGCTAATTATTGATGGAGGCTCCCACTTTGCCAAAAAGCAATTCAAAGCTCTTCTCAAGAGATATGGGGTTCATCACAAAGTTGGTCTACCTTGCCATCTTCAAACCCAAGGGCAAGTGGAGGTGTCTAATAGAGAGATCAAGAACCTTCTTGAAAGAATTGTGAACAAATATAGGAAGGATTGGTCCCTTAAGCTTGACGACACACTTTGGGCCTTGCGGACGGCGTACAAGACTCCAATTGGTACTACCCCCTATCGGTTGGTCTATGGGAAGGCTTGTCATTGTATGGTTGAGTTGGAGTATAAAGCTTGGTGGGCAATCAAGGAGCTAAACATGGATATGTCGTTGGTCGGTGAGAAGAGATTGCTCAAGCTCAACGAACTTGAAGAGCTTAGATATGATTCCTACGAAACTCGAGACTATACAAGGAGAAAAATAAGAAATGGCATGACCAACATATAAGGAACAAGAGATTCAAGGTTGGAGATAAGGTGTTGTTATTCAACTCTAGGCTCCGTTTGTTTCCCGGAAAGCTCAAATCCAAATGGTCGGGACCTTTCGTGATTTCAAGGAATATTCCTTATGGGTCTTCTTAGTTGGAGGCGGGAGACAACAAGTTCATGGTTAATGGTCATCGTTTGAAGCACTACTTTTGCAAGGATGAAGTAGGCTTGATAGAATGTATGAGGCTTGATCCATTGGATCCTAAGCCACCTTTTGGATGATGGTTTATCATGGTCAAGCTAGTGACCTCATAAAGAAGCGCTTCTCGGGAGGCAACCTGAGTTCTCAACTCTTTTGGTCTTTTATTTCTTTTATTTAGTCAATTTTGGTTGATTTCTCTTTAGATTCTTATTGCGTGCTTTTTGTTCTTCTTTTGTAGGTACTTGAATCTTTGGGCATTTAGTCTACGAATTTGAGAATGAATGTGTTAAGGGGGAGTTATGAATCGTAAGAGAAGATTGCAATTGGATTTTTAGTCTCAAGTCCTAAGGGATTTATTGTGTTTTTGAAGATAGCCAGGAGATGCCCAGGAGAGGGCTCTCCATGAAGACCCGCGCGCGCGGAAATGGTTTCTAGCCCCTTTACTAATATTTTGGAGATGCTCAGGAGATTCCTGGGAGAGGGCTCTCCATGAAGACCCGCGGGCGTGTCACTTAGACCAGCGGGCGCGGACAAGTATAACCCGCGGGCGCGGCCTGCTGTTCTTCAGAATACTTCAGAAAGCGGAGATGCCCAGGAGAGGGCGCGGCATCCTGACCCGCGGGCGCGACAAAGAGGTTCTGTGATTTTAACCCCTTTTTCCTCAGCATTTCCGAAACCTCTATTCCCCCTATTTTGATTTTTGCTTCTTCTTCTTTCTCTAAACCTCCAATCCTTTTCAAACCCTAACTCCTTCCACCTTAAAATCTCATCCAAAAATCATAAAATCATCAAAAATCATCAAATTTCCTCATTTCTCTCGAGTTTTCTCATCAAAGTCCAAAATTTCACCATTCAAGACCCCATTTTCAGTGTTCTTCTCAAGGTTCGAACGGCTCTAGTATTTCCACCATTGAAGGGAGCTTGAAGGTGGCTTGGAATTCTTCTTCAAAAGACTAGTTGGAGTAGTTTTTGGTACTCATTGTTGGTATATCTCCTTCCCACTCTAGTTCTTCTTTGAATTTGAAGCATTTCCTTTGGTGAGAAAATTGTTGTTTTGTGAATTTCATGTGGGGATTTTTGATGTTTGCATGCCAATTTTGTGTTGGTTCATCTTATTGAGCATGGTTGATTGTTGATTTCTTATTGACCTTGTTAATCGTTGTTGAGTTGTATTGCTTGGTTGGTGTTGCTTGGTGATTCCGAAAGTGTGCTCATTGTGTTGGATTATTGAAGTAGGGGAATTGTTGTTGTGATTTGTGTGGTGTTTGATTGAAATTGGGTGTTGATAAAATGGTGTTTCGTTCAAAGAAGAGAAAAAGTGGGAAGGAACCACAAGGTTCAACATCCGAAAACCCCCAACCAAATGAACAACCTCCTCCACCACCTTTGCCACCCATCAAATTCCACAATAAAAATCACAATCCATCTACGACAATCTGCAAAACCGGAAATTTAGACCCACAAAAAACTACCGCCAACCCTTTACAACAAAGCTTGGCATAGACGACGATTGTTGGTTCCTATTCAACAATCTTAGGTTAGGCTTATTTGTGGTAAGAGCCTACCGGACCTATAAGGAGCCCACTCTTGAGTTCCTAGCCTCCTTTGAATTTCATGTCGCGGGGGATAAGGACCTTGCCATCTCTTTTCAACTTTTCAACAAAAAAGAGACTGTTAACCTTCGCCAATTTAACTAACTATTGGACCTTAACTCGGACGCCGACATGTTCTTCCCCGAGCACAAGGTCTTTCGTGATTATAATCCCCTTACGTGGTGGAAAGTCATCTCAAGGATGGACGCCTTCTTGCCAAGTATTCCTTGGCCAGTCAAATCATGCACCCAACCATCAGACTTCTACATCGAATGCTCGGGTGCATGGTTTTTATTAAACAAGACTTGGGAAAGATCACAGCGGAGGAAATCCCAATTTTGTGGCTAGCTACACAGCCAGAGTTGGGGCATAGAGTGAATTTCGGTTTCCTATTCACCAAGTGCATTGAAGGGGTTCTCTCAGGTACAAGGAAAGGGGAGATACATTTCGGTGGGATGATCACTCGGTTGGCCGAGAAATTGGGTCACATGGACAAGTTGCGTTCTTGCACTCCCATTAGGAGAAGTGATGGAAGTGATATCTGGCTCGATCTTGATTAATTGAAAACGATGAAATTTATTGCGGATACGGAGATAGAGGGAGGACTTGGAGTTTGCTAGTCTCCCACGAGCATCACTGTCTCCTCCCCAAGTCGGAGTTCACTTCTTTCACAAGGGAGGGGGTTAATCACCCTTAGTGGGTAAGGAAGGATTCGGGTGTCCTGCTGGTTGCAAGGATGGAAATTGGTGAAGGTCATGATAAAAGGCATGACAATGAAGAGGATGAGAATGAGGTGGAGGTGATCCCTCTAAGTCAACAACAACAACTACGTCAACAAAGACAAGGAAGGCATCAACAACAACAACAACAACAACAACAAATCCAACAACAAATTGACTACCATCAAGAGATGGCGGCGATGCGGGCCCAAATGGAGAGCATGCAACTCGGCATGCAAGGTATGATCGCCTCCCAACAACACCATTTTTTTCAAACCAATGCCTTATACGATGCTAGCGTACGTAGAGGGAAATCACTCCCCCATTAAACTACCCTTATGTGCCTGCCCAACAAGGGCCCGTGCCATATTAGGGGGGGGGGTGACAACCAACCTACATACACTTACTGGCAGCGTCCCTCAGACCCCAATATGCCAAGGCTTGACTTTCCCGATGATTCCGGTCATTATGACTACCGGGTTTCGGGTGGGAGTGATTATCGGGGTGACCCTAACTACCCCTATGTTGATCCCTCTCACCCCTTGCCTCTTTCTCAACCCGAGCCATATGACCACTTATCCGCATCCCAACTAGACATCTTCAAGGGTCATTATGGGTGGCCTCCCGGTTACACCGGAGGTTGGGAACCCCATGGCCCCCCTTCAGGCTTTTCTTATGATGGTTGGAATGCGGATAATGATGGTGCCGGCCCTAGTGGCCAATAGTCCCCCCCCTTGATTTGTTGGTTTCCCACCCTTCTTGGTCCCTCCCTTTCATCGTCTTTGCATATGGAGCATCGGGGATGATGCTCTTATCTAGTGTGGGGGGGGGGTGTTTGAAGTCAAAAGGGGTATAGTTTGGGTAAGTGTAGGGGAAGGCACCAAGGAATCATGGGAACAATAATGGGATTGGTTTGATTTGGTCTTATTGCATGGTGTTGTTGGTTAACTCTTGGTAGCATTGTTTTTGTTTGTTGTTGATGATGTCTATTTTTATGATGATGATGAAGATTTGAGATTGAGTTGAGTTTGGGTAGTTGGTTTTGCCCAAATTATGAGTTGGTAGATATTTTTTTCTTTTACTAACCTCTTCTCTTCGTACAATATTTGCTTTTATCTCTCTCTTTTGTAGCCTTGAAGAAAAGTGGAAGCAACATATGGAGACATGGTAAATCGTAAGGTTGCTTTATTTATCTTCAAGAGACATATGGGTGAGATCTTTCCTTTACTTTTCTCTTTTCTTTTCTTATGGCGTGCTTAGTTTAGGATTAGTATAGGAAGAAGTAGAATGGTTCAAGGTTGTTTGCATTTGGTTCCAAGGAATCTAGGATCGTTGGTGTTGATACCGAACGATCATTATATGTCGATTGGGTTTTATTTGGATTTATATGCCTCATGTGTGAACCTCTTTGATTCCTTCCTTCTTTTGTTCTGTTTTCATTTTTTTTGTGACAAACATGATTATACCTAGATGATATGAATGTGTTTTGGAATTTGCTTGTACATTTGGACTCTATTTCCTTGATGATGCACCTTAGAATGCTTGTTTCTTCTTAACTTTATGATGAGATGCACGGTTTGAGATTGCCTTTGGTTGAATTAGATGAACTTTAGATAAGGTAGCAAGGTTAAGAACTTGTGAGGGAATTTGAACCCTTAGTTCATGGGAAGTGGTAAGATGGAGTTGCTCCCTGTAGTGGATTTGAAGCCCTTTAGTTGGCATTTGCTTACCTTTTTCATCCCTTGTGAGGTTTATTTTGTTCAAGCCTTCATCAATTTATTGTGAGGCATTTTAGGATCCTCGACTATGCGTGTCTTAATCCTTGTGTTAAATTCTAGCTCCCGAGATCGTGACCTAGCACTTTTAGGGGAGGAAAAGGGCACCTTTTCTCATTTTTGTTTATGTTTTATTTTGTTTAGTTATAAATTTGATTTTCTATTTGCACCAACCTACTTGCTAGCCAATTTGAGCTTAATGTTTCCCATTCTTGTCTTGACCGCATTACAAGCCTAACGACCTATGTTTTACCAACCCTTTTAGTTAGTGAAGCATTTAGTGTGTGAGGGTAATGTAGTGAGCATAGTGAATATGAGCAAGAATTATGTGGAGAATTGGTTTGAAGCAAAGAGTTGAAAGTTGAGCTTGTATATGAACATGCAAGAAAAGTTTGAGAAGAAAGATGCAATCTAAGAGGATCAAATGAAGTTTCAAAAAAAAAAAAAAAAAGTGGAGCTTTGAAGTTCCTTTCCTTTGAATAAGGGTGGTAATGTAATGAAATCAAAATGATGGATGTTTGTTTGAGTTGTGGTCGTCTCTTGAGTTTTGTCTATGACAGTTGGCCATTCTCTTGCTTCACTTAGGATTTGCCACCACTATTTCAAATGATCTCCCTACCTTTACCTTTAGCCAAGTCATTACGACCCTAGTAAAGACCCTTAGACTTTAGGGGGGCGTGGTCAAAAACCGGTGGAGGGAGATGGTTTTCAACCCTATGGAGAAAGCATTC